GATCCCACCCTTTTCCTAATTCCATCAAAGAAGGCTTCACCATCTGCCTCAGAAGACCTCAGCCTTGCAATAACAACAAATGGCAGCATCTCCCTCCTTACTGGGTTTAAAGAGAAGGGGAAGCTCATAAAGAGAAAGCGTCAAGACTGTGTCACCAGTTTTCATGAACAGAATGGATTTAAAAAACCAGCAAGTTCACATTACCCTGTATAATACTACTACTACAGTTAAAAAAGTTCCCTGTAAATGTGATTCTTAAGGAGCATCACATTTGCATTGTATTTTCAAAAAAAGCACATTTTACAGTTTACCTGAACAATATATTTTCTTACAGCTGATAGCATGAGTAATTTCATTGCACTCAATAAAATTTGCTGTTTGAAAAGCTTGTCAGTCTTCTTGCTTTAGAGTAAGATCTACACATTCTCCATGCAAAACATAACTTTCAAGAAACAAAGATTTTTTTTTTGGTATTGGGAAGAAGTGTTTTTATAGGGCTTCTGGTGCCAAAGAAAATTTATGAACTCCTGCAGAAAGGTGAGAGGATATGGGCTATTTCTGAGGTGATAAAAAACATTTTATTGCCTATTCTTTTACATTAGATGTTGTTAACTTTACCCCATGCCACAGAAGTTGGCAAGGCAGAAGAAAATTCCATGTTTTGCTGTGCATAGTGTGTATTTTCTGCCTCTTAAAAACACCAAAGATATGAAACCCACACGTGCCCATTTCAAAAGAAACTGTGTAAGTATTCTCTGCTTTCTGGCTACCAGCCAGGCTATGGAAATGAGCTACAGCCAGCAAAAACGAACAGGACTGACCAATTACTTTTCCTTCAGTTGTGCTCCTGAGAGTGAGGAGAGATTTTACATGTAAGTTATGCTATAACTATTTCAGGCCTTTCAAAGCGTTAAGGAATACTTCCAAATTTTGAAGTAAATATAATCCAAGGCTCTGCAATTGGACTCTATTTGCTCCAATGCTGGGGAAAAAAGACAGACAAGATTTTGAGCAAATTTTACTGTGTTAGCGAAGAAATCTAGTAAACACAGTAATTTTTTTTTTTTTTATTCTACCCATCTATCGATCCATCTATCTATTCAACAGTCCGTCCACCGTCCTGTCCCCCCCGCCCCTTTTTGATCTCTTCTCAAAGGCAGTTCTGGCTGCCAAGGCAGGAAGAGTTTGTCACTTTGGACAAGACAGGCATCAAAAAAGAGAGTCCCTTCGCAATTCTTGACTTGGTATCAACATTAAGAAAATACTTAATTTCAAGGAGGGAGTGGAAAAGGAGAAAAATAGGAAGCCTGTAGCTCTAAAGTATTCTACAAGATAAAACCAGATGGGTTCCAATGAAAACTTTAGCACCACAAAGAGCTTACACATTTTGTGCACATCATTATAAAACACACAAATCAAAATATCTGGCATATGGATTAGCTGAAGGCAACATTTTTATTAAGGCAATGAAGAAAATTATCCTCCTAGTGTCCTCTGACACTAAAATTTCCTGACATGCAGAATTGCCAACTTTTTAAAACTTACAAAATTTGAGAAAAATTGGTGTGCATTTCAAAATGTGACACTGTCAAAAATCAAAGAAAAAGCACAGAACAAATACACAGCAGCTGGCAAGCAAAATATATTAAAAATCTCAATAATCAACTGTTAGTAGTAATGTCTGAACAAGTCAACTGCACTTCACTCTTAACTTTTTTATATTTTACCTTTCTTCAGTTTCCTTATGTAAAGCTTATGTAAAACAAATCATTAGCATTACCGATAAAAGTACTCAAGTCATACTGCATTAAGCAGTTATCTGTGTCATTACATATATAGACAGACACCTGCACTCACAGTTCTGTGCTCTCTGATGTAAATGTCCCCCTACTTATCTGATCAATGGAGCCACAGTTTTACTGATTTTCTGCTTCAGAACAATAGCAGCAAAGTATTTTTGAAGGTAAAAAGGCTACAGGCTTTGTCTTCTAGCTAGGAGGAGGACACTGAACAAGGGTTCCTTAATAAATGTTGTTACATGCTGTCTCAGATGAGAAATTTTACTACAAACACAGAAGAAACAAAGAAGCTTGAATATGACTTGCATGGTTAAAAGAAATAGAGATGAGAAAAAGTTTCCAGATTTCCTGATTGCTATTAGCATCAATCCACACTGAAGGCTTCCGATAATAAGAAGCTTGCTTGGATGGGAGCTGTAGTGATCTGGTACCCGCCCAAAGCACCTGTAACAAGGGAGGAGGGTCCCAACTTTGGGAAGAAGAAGGGGTTTAACCCAGAACTCCTGCAGACATATCTTAAATGCACACGCAGTTTTATGGGTTTGATAACATCCAGCAGTTTGCTTCCTACAGCAAGAGGTAGGTGCTTTTAATTTGGTTCAGACTGTGATGTTGGTGGGACAGCAATCACCAATTTCCTACTCTGCTTTCTAATTTATGTAATCCACTAAAGCAACACTGGATGGAAATCGCCTTCCTTCAGTTACTTTCTGCTTCAAAGCAGCTCTACAAATCCAGTTTTTGAATTGTGTCCAATCCAGAACCGCTTACTGCACGGGACTCTGGTGCAGAGATTCACTGACCTGGAAGTGAATCACCTTTCTGTACATGGTCCTTCACTGTGTTTTTCCCATCTCAATATATTCAAACTGATAAAAGATAAGTTCCGGAAAAGCTTTACTTTCTTTATACGAAAAGAGGAAAGACTGCTGTACCTCAGGTGGAGCAGCAGGTCAGCGGACAAAACTGTAAATTGTATAGATTTATTCTGCAAGTGTTAGTTGCAACAAAAGGGCAGTTTTGGCCCAAAGTATGTGCTGCTTTGTGGGATCACCACACAGCTGGGCAGAATAACATCTCTTCTTCCCAGCACTTCATGATGCAACAGCAGAGGGTGTTGCAGATCAGGTCTAAGGTGCCCTGAGGAGAACGATGTAGGATTTCTTACACAGCACTTTTTTTTTTTTTTTCCTTTCTGGCTGATTCTGTTAAGTTTTTTGTAAGCATTAGCACCAACTCATAAATAACCTGAAAATAATTATGATTGGAAAAAAACCCCAAACATATGCATGTATGAAAAGAGGAGGAGAGATTTAACACAAGGACACTGTTTCCTTTCTATTCTTCCTTGTCAATAAGTGAATGTGAAAAATAAAACAAAAGTTTAATCTGCATGGGGAATACTGAAGGAAAGAGAGGAATCTTCAGACATGACACAAGACCAGTCTTACACATGAAATCCCAGAGGAAATCACTGTCCTGAAAGAGGGGATCAAATCTCCCCCAAATACTGGAATATACAGAGAGATGAGAAAGATTATCCAACACTTAAAGATTCTGGGAGATTGCTTATTTCACACCTGATGATTTCTAGGACACCCTGATGAAAATCGAGACCCTACATGCTGTTTGTTAGCTTCCCCCATTGTAAGAGTGCAAATCTATGGTGCACAGAACAGCTATGGTGCACGAACAGGAAGTCCTATAGATTCCCAAAGAAAAATCTGCTCATTGCAAAAAGAGCATCCTTCTATTGATCTCCCGCCTCCCTCTCATCTAACATCCCCATGGAAAAACCTTGGAGACTGAATTGTGCAAACCTTTAGGAAGATTTCCACATACTATAAACGTAGGTCTTTTTATTTTTTAATTTAGAAAGAAAAGAGAAATAACTGATCCAAAACTGGGCACTGCTTTCATGACAATACCATACCATGCTCTCCTTATGTCTGCTATTGAGCAAAATAGCTCTACGGCTGGATACAGTACCACAACAAAGTAATACTCACACCTTCTAAATAGCTGCCTTAACTGCCTTATTGCAAGCAGATAATGACCCACTGAAATCATGTTCAGAGGAGGAATGTCACACTTTCCCTGTAATATCTGTATCATTGCTAAACACCAAACATTCAAAGATGCATCCTGGAAGCAGGGATTGGTGGACAGTCACCCATAATTCCTGGTTAAGAACAGAAACCCATAATTTCTCCAAAGCAGCTGTGATAGCTGCTCTCAGCCAAAAGCCAGCCATCAGCTGCATGCATTAAAAACAAAATTCAGTCTGTGATCCATGTGTTTTTAATATACAACTTGGTACAAACCACACATTTCAGCGGCTGTAGGCATTTCACATTGACATGAATGCAACCGAGTCACCAAGCAAGAAGGGAAGTTTTACCCCTCCCTGGTTCATACGATGTCAATGGCCCAGCCAAACGTAAGCAGGAAATCAGTTCTGCCGGAATGACATGCAGAAGCACCGTATTTCTTGGTTTAGGCATAGGACACACGACTGTCTTCTAAAGAAGTTAGCAATAAATAAGCGTTGGGAGGGATGGACTGACACAGAGAAGAGAGAACCCTTTCAGATTGACTGTGGGGTGCAACTTAAGGGTAGATTAAGTGTTTTCTGTTTTCATTTCTCTACTCAAGTCTCCTAAGTCTCTTTCCTCAGCATGCTTTGTACTTAAAGTGCTGTAAATAGGTGTTCTTATTTGTAATTTACCTAAACTCAGTTTAACTGGAGGTTCATTTAATTTCAACTCTTAGTCAAGGTTGAGGGAAAATAAATATCCTGGTACTGGAGAATCTCCAAAGCGTCCAGCTCCCCAAACCATTTCTTGAAGGTTTACTTAGATAGATATGGCTGACACCATTTTGAGAATATTTTGACAATATTATTTGAGAGCTGAGTATGAGAGAATTAAAAGAAGAAAAAGCCACTCCAGTGGTAAACGGGAGCTTTCTGGCATGTGGCAAGATCACTGGAGCACCAAGTGCTTGCCCAGGAATGAAAACCACACAGTAACATTAAGAATAAAAGCAGAATATGTACCCTTCCCCATCAATTAAATCTGCTCCATAAAAGGGAGATAAATCTTTCCATTGACTAAACAAGACATAAACACGTATCTTTCAACACCCATGCAGATTTTGCCAAAGTTTCTATAAGAATAGCTTTTTAATGGAAAAAGTTACCTGGGTTTTTGTAGATGCTAAGCACATCCTTGAAATAATGAGGTAAGAATCTTTCTAATAAAAGCAGCACATCCTCCAACTCCTCCAGAATGCCCACAAGCAGAAAATTTTCATTAACGTTCAGCTTTGCTCTTTCAAGGGCCCATTCACCAGGCTCCCTGTATGAAATTAATGGAGGGAGAGAGAGGGAGGAGAGAAAGAAAAAAAAAAAAAAAAGAGTTTAAATATGCTTTTACTTCAGAAATTCAAGCCAAGAACACAACTGAATCAAAAAATATGCAGTGCTGTACTTCTAACAGAATATAAAAACCTCCCACCAAACCTGAGTAGCTTACTGAGCTTTTCTGCACAACATCTAGAATTGGTTTGGCATGTAAAAACATGATCACATTAAAAGGAGGTTAATCACTGCGTGGAAGCACTCCATTCTGAAGACATCTTTTGCTGAGTTGTTTAAAAGCTCAAACTTGTGAACTCCTCTATTTCGACTCGGAAGCATGACCCATCTCACAGGAGGAATGACTTCCTTGGGTGATGAAGGGTGCTAAGGGGTGGTGGTGTCCCTGAACCACATCAGGAGAATGGCTGTCAGCAATCACTGCCTGCTGTTACCCAGTGAATACCACACAGGAGGCTACCGGCCTGTTTCCCACCTTATCCTTCATTTTAACTCGCGCCAAAGTCTCCATGAGCTTCCCTTTCCCTGCCATTACCCTTGACTGCCCTGGGGCTCTGCTACAGGATTTGCATTTGTTTGCTCTGACTGATACTGGTTTTGAAGATCAGTTTAGGGTTATTCTATCTTTTCCCCCAGTAGGAGAAGCTGGCAGGACACCAGTACATCTTTATGCTTCTCTCATCGTTTCATTGAAGCACAATTAGGTCTGACAAGCATATGAATCCTAAGTCCCTTAGATGAACTCATATTAATTTATGTCCTGGGAGCAGCAGTCAGCATTCATATTAATAAGGGATATAATGCCAGTGTCCCAAACTAAAGGAAATTAGCTTTTTCCCAAGGTCCGGCTGGTATGATGAACATATGAGCCACACAGGCTACCTGAGAGGGGCTGGAGATCACACCTCTTCCCTGACTTAGAATCATAGAATAGTTTGGACTGGAAGGGACCTTTAAAGGTCATCTAGTCCAACGCCCCTGCTGCGGGCAGGGACATCTTCAACTAGATCAGGTTGCTCAGAGCTCCCTCCAACCTGACCTTGAACGTTTCCAGGGATGGGGCATCTACCACCTCTCTGTTTCAGTGTTTCACCATGAGGCTATTGCAAATTCTATGCGACAGTGAACTTCCAACATTTGTTAGAAGCTCTCCTGATGACATACGGAAAAGCTTATTGCTTTACGCTCCCACTAGAGCAGATTTGGAGCAGGTTTTTCATTCCCTACCACCTTCTTTGTATTGGTCCATTTTCTGGAAGAGAAACAAATACTACAAGCTTCCTTCTTGCAGCTCCTTGTGAGACTAGGAAGTAGCTGAAGGAAGTGCAATGGCATGATGACAGGAGACACATGTATAACAAGCTACAAAACAGTATTTCAATATACTGCTCAGAAACCCCACAGAGATATGTTGTGAAAGTATTCAGACATGTCACTGTTGTTAATGGGATTACTCATATATACAAGTTAAGTGTGCAAACATAAGCATTTGCAAATGAGGCCAAAACACATTAAGAAAAAAAAGTGTAATGAAAATGAAGTCATGAATCTGTTTTGTTTCTTAATCAGACCCTCGCTTATGCCAAAAAACTAAAGCAGGATTTTACAGCAAAGATACTTAGAAACTGAGACATAAGAATGACCACATTTTCACTTCTTCTTACTGCTACAAAAAAGTATGGCTTTTGAAAGAAATTTTTGAGAACATGTGCAGTTGTTCCACTATGGAGAAGTGGTAACAATAAATAAATAGAATACCTTGAAGTTGAACAAACCTAATGAAGCACATGCTTTGACCAACAACACAAAAGTATTTGAAAACAAGAAGGTATTTAAAATTATTCACATATAATTGCATAAAAGTTTACTACGCAGTATCAATAATACAGCAATATGAGAATGGCATAAATAGAGACATTAAAAATGAACTACCTCAATTACAGCAGTAGAAGGCTGCACTTCACATAGTTTTAAGCATGATTACTATTTCTTACACAGACATAGAAACTTGGAATTCCTCAGATATAGACCTGATACGAGCACCTGAGCAGAGCTAAAACATGTATTACAAAATTGCAGTGCAGGTAAAATGAGTAACAAGCACATAGAGTCACTACCTTGCCAATCCAAAAAAGAAAAACCCACATAAATACATCCAGCTTTGATAAATTATTCATGTATTAAATCAAGAAAAAAAAATAGTAATATATTTGCATTACCCTCCTCACTCCAAAATATATGCATGCAGTTACCACATACAGTGCTACATTGTACTTACACTTTTCTCTTGTACTTCAAATAACTGTTGCCTCTTTATTATCAGTTTCTTTCAACAGCTACTGCTGAACAAATTGGGATACCTTGTATGTATTTACCTGCATCTTGGATGCTGTCCACAGAAATATGGTATGATGTAAAATAGCCTGGGATTGGAACATTCAGGGTAGTTTTCAAGGATACATACATTAATGTCCTGTAGGGAGGAAAGAGAAAAAAAGAAAAAAGAAAGAAAGAGGTTGAATACTGCATTTTCCTTTTTCTATTAACAAGTGTTTTCTTTATCTCATACTTTATACAGTCACCTCAGTGTCAAAGGATTGTGCTGAGGCTATATCAAATACCTTAAAAGTCATCTACCAGTCAATTTATCTACTACTAAATATCATTAAAAAGTTTCAGGAGGGAGGGGAAAAAAAAAGTAATTTTGTCCTAGAATGCAAAAACCACATTTTTTTTTTCCTTGCTGCAAATAACACAATTATTATACTGAGATTACTGCATGATTCAAAGCAGGACACATGGATCAGCTTTCATATTGAGTTATATTTAAAATATTCAGGAGATTATTTTCAGACTCTTCTTTCTTCTAAATACACCCTGGGGGAAACGTGAAGTAGCCAAAATAAATCAAATTGAGACAACAATTATCTTCTTTCTTTTTTTTAATTCTGCTTCATTCAATGACTGGAATGAACAAACGTAAGCTGTAATTTGCACAGCTTACTCTTGATACAAAAACATACATCACTTTTGATTACAATTCTGTACATTCCTCAGATGTTCAGAATTGAGCCTATTGTGTAAACCCTCACCGAGAAAAGGGCTTATTAGAAAACATTTATCATTTTCCTGATTTATCTAATTAGGAGCTATTTATCATTTTCCAAAGACTAGGCATAGCTCCCTAAGGAACTGTATTTAATTTCTAGCTTTACTCTAGCGCAATAATAAACGCACCTGCAAGTGGATTGAATTCCACTATCCTTATCTAGTCTAATAGACCCTTACTCTGCAAGCAGACCCATTGACTCCGAAAAGACATACAGGGCAAAAAACAAAGGTGCAAGACAACATAAGCAAAAATGAAAGGATTTCACCTTTGCAAAACCAATCTTCATTCTTATTTAAAGACGTGTGCTTTTATAATGCAATAGGCTTGATACACATCAATATCAAATGAATGACTATCAAATCCATTCTTCATCAAGTAAATAAAATGCAATAGAGAACACTTCAGTGGACAACATGTCCTCCGCAAGGCAGAAGCGCTTGGCAGCGTGGGAGACGTGGAGAGCATTCCCTGCTCTCCTGGGGCAGCGTGGGACACAGGCCTCCAGCTGCAGCATCCGATTCTGAGACCTCAGCGCAGAAAAGCTCTTCCCAGAACTTCAGCCCTCATGCCTAACTTCATTACTGTCACATTTGGGTCCGTAAGCCTTTCAAAGTACAATCCTGTTTCCTCCTCTGTCTTACACTCACGTAAATCAGATTTTATAAGCACATCAGAAGATCCTGGGCTGGGAAGTAAATCACATGGTGGGGAACCATCACAGGAAACAACATAAAAATTGCCCACTGGGATACAAACAACGCATCTCCCCTATTCCCCGCAGTGTATTCAAGCATACTGAGAAGAGCTTGCCTTAAATACGTACCAGAAGATTTATGGTCAAGACGTGAATTTTGACATTCAAGGCTCGGAGCTGAAGCTAACCAGCCCCCCATTCTCAATGCTATGAATATTACTAAGAAATCTACTGGTGGCACAGTAAAATCGGCACACGCAATGTGTCCCTCCTATCATCCCAATAGTTGTTTTTTTTAAAATGAATTAAAAATTGAATTAAAATTAATTAAAAGGTTTACTGTGCTCTTACTATAGACACTACCAGAGATGTTTTCAGGGATACGTATTTTCAGTTTTCATAAGAACCTGTAGAGACCTGCAATGAATTCATAAATTGCTTGGATTTAAAAAAAATGGAAATACTGCTCTGACAATACTTTAAATTATGTCCAAGCCAGCTTCCACTTGATTAATGGATTAATTAGAAGGCAGAAAAACTTATGTAAGATTTAAAAATCGTGAGTATTACCGAACGAAGAGCTGTTCCTCCATTCTCGCTCCTATACAAAGGTGAAGGGACATTAACTCACAATAAAGAAACTTACTGTTTCTTTGCAAGAATAATGAATACGTGAGTAATGAATAAGTGAGTCGGAAAATATTCCCTGAGATAAATAAATATCATTACCCAATCCAGAAGCACAACAGGGACTTCCTTGTCCTTCTGAAAGCAATATTTGATTAATATGGCCAGAGAAACATCCATACAATAAAAGCAACATAAAATCATGTGGAAAATCCTGCAGCTTTAACAAGTGAACAGCTTATATTTAGTCAAAAAGAGATTTTTAGTATTCCTTTTTAGGGTAAACTGTTGTAGGATTACTGAAACAACCGGGACGGCACTAATCTAAACTATCGATCCCTTCAAATTTGATTTGTGGAAGGAATGCAAAAGGATGAGAGAGAAAAATCTTCCCCACTCCTCACTGATGCACTCAAGGTTTAAGATAAAGGTCAGGTATGCTTTCATAGGAACCTATAGTTTTTCACCACACAACAGCACACATTTCACGTTCCTGACATCAGAAGCACCAGGTTTACTCTGTGGCAAAAGCACTGCCCCTTTCCAGTCTCCATTTACCACCACTGCTGTGATATGCATTACAGCCGCTGGAGGGTCCTGATGCATTTGCAGCACCTGCTCGCCTTTCCTATTTTAATGTATTCATAATTTGTGAAATAAATCACCAGCCACCATCTATCCCCTCAGAGGAGATCTTACTTGATGATAATTATGCAGCTCCATGAGATGTAAAATCACAGTTTTTAACCAAGAAGTGGGGCGAAAGAAAGGTCAGCCTGAGGTGTGCTAGTCATCACAAAACTTAAACACAGCTGAAGGAAGCTGCTCTTCGGTTGCTAGCGGGACTTACAGGAATTTCTGGTTTTCTGAGCACAAAAAGCTAAGGTGAAATTTCATTATTCTAGGCAGTGTTATTCTGTTAGCCCAAGCAACATTAATGCTACATTTCTCAGTGAGAGCATGTTTTCCCAGCAGGACGCAGATCTTTCAGGGCAGAAAGGTTTTTATGTGAGACACAAAATCACAGGGTGACAGATGACAGCCTTGCTCATTTAAATCACTGGAGGAGCCTTGTAAAAAAATTTTTCAAACACAGCTGAGAGAGATACAGAAAGAAAGAAACAGAGCTACTTTGATCATACCCCTCCACAATAAAGAAAGAGGAATCTCATTTTATTCCTCAGCTCCTGGGCTACAATCCACACTGCTCACGTCCCACTGGGCTTCTGTCTCCAGCAGGGCAGAGGGACGCCTGGGAACCAGCCCTGGGGCTGCAAGTAACAACAGAAATGATCTTTCTTTTTAATAGTACTGTATTTTTCTATTGTTACAATTTTGGCTGAAATGGTAAATTGGTAATGTCTACTTCCTTCTTCTGTAAAATTGTCTTTCATATAAAAATCACAATGTGCCCTAATCTATTAATCTGTCAATGAGCCAGACTACTGGTCTATCCGAAATATATCAAAGGTGTGTTATTAATATATTTTTTTAAGTTAATATCAAATGAGATGTTTTATTTGCCATAACACATTCATACATGTCGTAAGAGGAAGTTGGCACATGATTAAAAATATTTCAAGGATAAAAAATTCCTTTGGGAATTTTAATGCTATCACAAAAAGAGCAAAACTTTAAAGTATTTTTTGTAGAACAATAAACAATTTACTTAAGTTAATGTCTTTAACTCAATGCAAATACTGTACCATATACAAAAAGATGTGACCTTAGATTTGAGAGTTTGATTTTTTTCATCCTAATATAAAATCCTAAGAGTACTGGGGGAACTAATAACTTTTTTTTGTCCAGCAGAAGGAACACCTAAGTTTTTTTAAAAAAGAAATAATTCCTGGGCTTTAAAGCATTCCCTATTTCTCGATCCTCAGTGTCTCAACTAAAAATTACAGAAACATCAGATGCTGCCATGGGTGTACGGCAATTCTTAGAATCATAGAATCATAGAATCATTAAGGTTGGAAAAGACCTCCAAGATCATCGAGTCCAACCGTTAATCCAACACCACCATGCCCACTAAACCATGTCCCTAAGCGCCTCATCTACACGTCTTTTAAATACTTCCAGGGATGGTGACTCCACCACTTCCCTGGGCAGCCTGTTCCAAGGCCTGACGGCTCTTTCAGTAAAGAAATTTTAGTATCCCTAACAATTTAAAATGAGGAATCATAACTCAAATACATGCATGCCTTGCAAATATTTTTCCATTAACCATCCATTAATCTATGGGAATCCATAAAACTGGCCTTTCTCTCACAATCAAAATGAAAAATACGACATGTTGTCTTTCCATGCCCTGCCCTTGCTGGATACTGCAACTTCTGTGAAACCAGGAGACCCTGCTTACAGCCTAGACATGGTACATGCGCTTTACTTAAGTCTGAGGGTTGCAGATGTGAAGTTGAGGTGTGTCATGAAGGCTACAGAGGAAGCAGCGACCTAAATAAATACCTTTCAAGTTTCCATAAAAGGAAATGAAATAAAATGATGTGGAAAACCAGCAAGTGAGCCCAGTCTATGGCGACCTCTCCTGCTTACAATGCTGTTCTTCATACGCCACTACAGTCAGCAGCGCAGTCTAGTCCTCACCGTGGCCAGCCAAGGAAAATTATTCTGCTCTGCTGAGAGCACCCAAGAATCCTCTCGCGGCTTGTAAAATGTTTTCTCACATACTTGCTCAGTGTTTTTTAAGAGGTCAAACTGACCGTTACATCCTGAGGACAATGTTGCATCATATGAACTAAATACAACCATGCTGGAAAAAAAAAAATCCACTGCTTTCTCTGTTCCCAGCTAGGGAGCTATGGGTGGCCGTAGAGTGATGGGGAAGAAAATGTAAACATGACGGCTCAGAAAAGGGCTCGCGAGTATAAATAAGAAATGAAAGAAGGAAAAGCACGACTTCCTACTTTGTAAGGCTGCAGAAAGACATTGAAAAGTCAAGGTACAGTTGGCATGAAGGTTTTCAAATATAAATGTAACATGACTTCCTAAATCTTATTTAGGAGCACAAATTATTTACATATTTTTATGGAAAATAAACTATAATGCAACACATTTTTAACCCTAATTAGAGAGGTTTTTACTTCATCGGGTGATATTTAATGTTTCTATTCAATCTCAGTCAAGTATTTGGATAACCAGAGCCACACAGCAGCAAGATGACCTGTTTCTTTCAAATTCTGGAGGCATTTGGTACTGGCAGCAGATTGCTGTGAGGTGGGCAGGTGCTGGGCATCACTTCCCAAACCAGCACTGCCAACACAGCCCAAGCCAAGTATTCCCCAGCCCATGCTATTGTGGTACCGAGCCCCCCTGAGGAGAGCTGCCAGGTGGGGTGGATTGTGCCAAACTGGGTGGGATAATGGTCCTCTGGAGACAACAGCAAGTTGGACAAGTCTACTGGGACACCAGTGGCAGGCTGCAGAGCGAGCAGTGGGAGAAGCTCCACGAGATGGCAGAGCTGATCTAGCTAACCGAAATGTGGGTTTCTGTCCCCAAACATCCCCCTGCACCAGCTGCGATGGCACCTTCACTCCTGTGCAGGCTCCGCCAGCTCAAAAAGCAACAGAAACCCTTTTCTTTCCCTCCACTGCCTTCTGGTCTTCTACCAGAAGAGTGAACAACACGGGGCTTGCTCATGGAAATGCGGCACCGCCGCACTCCAGTTGTGCAGGGCACGTCCCCCTTGGAGTGACACAGGCCACATTTAATGACTTCAGTTGCCCTGTTCATTTCTTTTAGTCATTTTGCCACCACAGCCATTGCAACAACTGGGAAACAGTCACCAGAGCACATGGCCATTTCTCCCTGTCACTGCCTGTCCCCTATACCCAAATACTGCCACTGCCACAAGAGGCACCCATGCTCCCAGCACCTTCGTCTGTGGCACTGTGAAATCCATGGATGCCAGGGACTTCTCTTGTCTTTTTAGCTACCCGGCAGATCTTGGGTAGTTACTGACGAGACAGCAGAGATGGGCCTCGCATTTCATCCTGAAGAGGAGCGACAAGGATCTCAACTGGTGCGAAAGAGATGACTACATCTACCAGAGACACCCAGCAAGGCCAATCCGCTGGTGGGTCCATGCAACAGATTTAGATCTGCCCTGTGAAGACAGATGCTACAACAGATAGAAGCCAGTGACAGGATTTTGGGGACTGGAGCATGAAACGGGGAAGTGCCTGGGGTGCCCAAACAGCTCGGGCTGTGCTCCCCAAAGATGACCTCTTCTAGCTGGCTTCACCATGATTTTCCTGCTTAAAACCAAGAGGTATGCTGCTTTACCTTCGACGAACACTACATTTGAAAGTTGAGCTGAGGTTTGCATTTTAAAACTAGTTTTCGTCACAGAAAATATTCCTTTCAACTCTTTCTCGCTTGGCATATCCGTTTTTGCAGAGATACGCTTCTGAATGCTTTTGTACAGCTCCTGAAAGGCCGCACAGACATTTCACACTTTTGCAGGTATTCAAGCTCCTTTCCTCCACATATTTGTCAGGAGTTGAAATATGCTTTTTAAAATAAAATAAATCCTTGATCTCTGAAATTCCCAGAAAACGCTCATTATCATTTCTTCAACGAACTGCTCTTTGCCTTCAGCTAAATCATGTATTTGACAAAAAGTAGCAGCAAAAGCAACTAGAGAATGAAGAGAAGAAAAGATGCTTCTCATCACCCACACTTCTATAAGGCGCAGCGCACCACTAGAGGAGAGAGTGTAACAGCCTACGCAGGAGATCAGAAGAATATCCTTTAGAAAGTCACAAGGACTCCTAGCAGCAGTGTTAGACGAACAGTTGGACGAGCAAAAGCACCCCGTGGAGCCAGCTCATTTGATTCAAGCTGCTGTCCTCCAGCATCTTATTTAAAGGTTAGTTCAAAACAGAAGCTGTCCTGTAAAACAAAGCAATGTGCTCTTATAAATGTGTTGAGGTTTTTTCCCCCAAAT